CAACTCGGTTATAGAAACAACCAGTGGCTTTGTTCTCGTAGAGTCCGTGGTGGCCGTCGAGAGGCATTGCAGCTGTGAGAGATCGTCCGACTGCTCCTGCAGAGATCTGATTGCTTTCTGCAGGAAACTGCTTCCCTCAAACTCCCAACCAACAATCCAGAACAAACAGATCAACAGAAACATTGCAGAGTTCTCGTAAGTGAGGAGTTCAGATGACCTGCGCGCAGTGACATGTCGGGACATTGTTGCCAAATGTTTTGTGATGGAGCAGAAGGGTCGTCTATATGTTATGAGAATGCCAGTGCTTGAGACACTATAAGTCACTTGTTGAAATATCATTAAGGACATTTTGTAATATGTGTTTGTGGGCTTTTGCATTACATAAACGTGGTACTGATTGAAGCACACTTATTTTACATCAGGATCTTAATGTCGATCCTGCAGGTCAATAAAAAATGTTTTGTCATATGCATAATATGATAAAACAAAAATAGTTTTTTATTTTGGTTTGACTATTTTCTAAATTTCTGTTGTTTACAATCAGAAGACATTCCTGTAACTTATGAATGTTTTTGCTTTTTGTGCCTGAAGTTTTGTATTTGACATTCACATTTTGTTATGTATATAAAAAACTTAATGCCATTGTATTTTTTTGATGTTGAGAGACATTCTCATATATTCACAGTACTTTGAATATTTATGACAAACCTGTACATATGAACTAAAATATCTGCATACATGCATTAAGACCCAGCTATCATTGTGTTTTTGGGGTCCTTGTCTTTTACACCCAGTTGTCTCCAAGTTGTCATCACCCATCTGTTGATTCACGGTAAAATTAAATTATTTGGACATAGTTTTCTTTTACCTGTTGCAATGGACCTGCACAATTCGCAGCAGAACAGCCTCATAAAACCTGACAATCGGTTGCAGTGACGTGCGTTGAGGTTCATAGCTGCTGACTCAACCATAATCAGATTTTAGTCATTTTGTTGGCGGCGTACAGACAGGAGGAGCATGTAATGGCAGCCAGTGCAGTTAGAGAGGTTCATCAATCCCAGGTGAGGCTCAGTTGCCTGACCTGCTCTCACCTGCTGCCTGACCTGCTGCCTGACCGACTGCCTGACCTGCTGCCTGACAGACTGCCTGACCTGCTGCCTGACCTGCTCTGACCTGCTGCCTGACCTGCTGCCTGACCTACTGCTTGACCTGCTCTGACCTGCTGCCTGACCTACTGCCTGACCTGCTGCCTGACCTACTGCTTGACCTGCTCTGACCTGCTGCCTGACCTACTGCCTGACCTGCTCTGACCTGCTGCCTGACCTGCTGCCTCACCTGCTCTGACCTGCTGCCTGACCTACTGCCTGACCTGCTGCCTGACCTACTGCCTGACCTGCTGCCTGACCTGCTGCCTGACCTACTGCGACCTGCTGCCTGACCTACTGCCTGACCTGCTCTGACCTGCTGCCTCACCTGCTCTGACCTGCTGCCTGACCTACTGCTGACCTGCTGCCTGACCTACGCCTGACCTGCTCTGACCTGCTGCCTCACCTGCTGCCTGACCTGCTGCCTGACCTGCTGCCTGACCTGCTGCCTGACCTACTGCCTGACCTGCTGCCTGACCTGCTGTGCTTCCGAGCATTTCGATGGAAAAATGCAAAAATTCAGCGATTTTGAAGAAAAAAATAATCAGAATTTGTTAAGCTACATGAATAATAGGTACTTCATAATACAAACCACAAGGTGAAAATAGCAATATAATTAATTTTATCATTATGTATAATTTTTTATGATGACGGGCCTCCCCTGACCGCACGTCACTGGTCGGTTCAGTGTTCAGACGTCCCTGATTTCTGGAGACAGTTCCCGTTTTAAGTGACCTGTCCCCGGCTGAAGCCGTCCCCGGAAAAGTCCCCGACTTTAGTATTTTATGAACGAGAAAAAGAAGTTTCTATAGACCGTTACTACAACAAGCTGGAAGAAGAAGCTCCAGTTTTGAGCAGCTGACCTGATTCGGGATGTGTGAAACATTGCGTTTTGTTTGAACTTGCCGTCATAAAGAATTGGTTCACAGTGAAATAAAACTAAACTTTTATTAACAAACACAACAAGACGAGAGCACAATGAACAGCTACAGAATTAGCCAGAGTGAGAGAAATAGCAACAGGATGGTTAAAATAAAGATGAGTTTATACATGTAAAGTTTATCACAAAAGGAATCAATCAGTGACAAGAAAACTGAATGAAGATGAGCCTGAACTGATGAGAATGGAGAGATCATCTCTTCTGTTTGTTTAGTCCAAGCATTTTGGGTTTTTTGCTAAATATGGCATTTTTGAGATTTCATCAGCTGATGAAAAAGGTTAATATTTATACTAAGATTTTATTAGGAAAATTCCAGCTCCTCGTCTCAAAATAACCAAAAAAAAAAAAAAAAACTAATCTAATTTTATTTCTTAAATTGTACATTTTCAGCACGTCATATTCGTTCTAATGTTTTTGGGGGAGATTGAGATGATTTTATGTCTCTGTTACTGGCAGACTGATAAAAAATGAGACAGGAGGAAAATGTTCTGATAAACTCAATGAATGAGGAAAATGGGAAAACTGACAAAGCTGAAGAGAAATATGAAATATAAACATATTACTTAATATCTTCTATCTTGCATTTTAAGTGTTTCTCTTTACTCTTCTTGTGGGGTTTTTTAGTTTTTCATATAATCTTTTCTGCTCTTATTTTATCCAGACGTCTCGGCCTGATCATGTGTCTGATGGCTCTTCAGACCCAGGAGGGTTTTTCACATCCAGAGATGAAGTCGTTATGGACTTTCTGACCAGAGTTCATTCATCTCAAACACACACAGTCTCCTTACATAACTTTAGACACACTCATGAATTTATGGACACTTCATTCATGCATAACATTCACTTGTGGACAAAGTTGTTGGTATTTTCTGTTAAAGACTGAAAAGCCCACAGTGTCACTGAAACAACCCGAAACCGACAAAAGTGATTCATGAAGATTTACTGAAATTTAATCAATAAAACATCAGACATGGTTTTTAATTGAGGTTCAACAGAATAAGAAAATGACAGACCAAGATGACGACAGTCATTATTCTGAAACTCAAAGGTCCACAGAACGAACCATTCAGCCTCATCGTATCATAATTCAAAAGAACTATGATATTACTGTTTACTGAAAGTCCAGAACAACCAAGTTTAGAAAGGAAAAAGTGGACTTCATGTGAGATGACCAAGAAGGAAAGCAAATCATTAAAAAGTGACTTTTGAACAGATGAGACAAAATGTCCATCAGTTCAATGATCACAGACACAAAAATGCTAATAAGCTTTAACTACCATCATTTTAATTGAGTCACAATCTAAATCAGTTTGTCAGTAAACATTTTTTACTACTTTTGCCAGTTTTAAATTACTTCAGTTACCACTATGGGCTTTTTGTTCATTAACAGAAGGTACTTGCTGAAATGCACAGATTTTCCAGAGATGAGACTGAAACAGCAAAAGTGCGAAGAACATAAACTTTGATGTTTATATCACTTGCAAGTGGAGAACAACACAGATAAAACCATAGCAAACTCTAGGTGTGTTCTGAGGAGGCTGAAACAATCACACAACCATATACAGTTCCTTGGCGCACAGGAAGTGGGAGTCGTTTCAAATGCCCAAAACTAAATGAGGACACATGACATAAACAGGGGTAGAGGGTGAGGCGTCCTTTACCTCGCCTCCTCCAAGGCCACTCAGATAAGCTGAGCATCTCGTCCTGTTCCCATAGTGGGGGTGCACTAACTATTTGTTATCTCTTCCCTTCCAGGCAGCTGGCCTTGGTCCTCCCTTTCACCGACACAAAGAACTGTTCTTATGAGACTATGAGTCACCAGGTGCAGCCGGACAGGAGAGAGAAGAAAAACAACTCTGAATATTTTATATATGTCTCGATGTAATCTTAAATATTGTAGATAATTAATTTTGTTCCACATACCAACTGTTCATGCGTGCTCGCTTACAGAGCATGTTTACAATTTGCCCCCATAGTTCCAGTTTTACTTTTCTATGACTTTTATTATTATTATTAATAGTAATATCACCACTGTGTGGAGAGACATATTCCTGCATTTATATTCTGTTTTTAATGTTTATGTATTAATAAATATGTAAACTATAACTGTCCCAATTTCATTTTATTTAGATAAATTAGCTTTTTCTTTATCACTGAGCGAGAAATGTCCCCAGATTTAGTCTTGGAAATCTGGCCATCTTAATGAAAGCAACAGAAAACATGGTGTATGCACAACCTTTTGAAGTGATATTAGAATCTGCAGCTGTTTAATAAAGATTTCCTAATCTTCCATCTTGTCTCCTGTTGGTGTCGGTGCCAGTAAAACAACACAAAACCACAGCGATGCTTCATAAAAGATTCCCAACATCTTTGACTCACACAGATATGAGTAAATTTTAGCTTGAGTTTGTGCTTTTGGGTCAGCAGAGGTCTAATACTTTTGACTGGCTTTAGGAATCCTGTGATCATTTCCTCTTTCTACTTCCACTATTTTTCTCACTGTATCTCCAGGAAGATTTAAGGTCTTTCCAATATTTTGTATGCTTTTCTTTGTACAAGATTCTTCCCTCAACCATTTGGACAATATTAGATAGACAATATTACATCAGGTGTGCCTGAAACTGCTTTAGATTTGCAAATATCTTCTCCAGTTACTTTGTGTATGGATGAATGAAAGACGGAGACAACGGAGGAGCTGGCAGCTGTACGGCCAATGAAGGACACTAAAACAAGGAACGGTTGTTCAGAGGTAAATCTACCTCTACAGATACATTTACTGGTAAACTGGTGAATTTACCTGGGAGGTACAAACTGGGAGGTGTTACAACAACTTAATGGAAATTAACCAAGAGCACATTCTGTGGAAAATAAAATATTCACAGATTGTTTACTTTTATTAGAAGTTTATTCAGTATTTAATCAATTTATTTTCAGGCTTACAGAGTTGTTGTTTCTCTTTTGGCCTTCAAAGTTTGCCTCAGTGAGCCAGAAGCCTAGCAACAGGTGATAAGCAAATAGTTTTCTACGTCACAGGGACAGACCAGACTCGACGGCTGGGCGATTAGATTATTATTAGACACAGAAACTGTGTCTAATAAACTGCCTGAAACCTGTTTTCTACTGAAGGTTGCATTTTTCTCCACAGACATTATGTCTGTGCATGGAGTGCTGTGCTTCTTGGATGCTATCATAGGTATCTGTGTATCAAGGACAGTTTCCGGTACATCAGAGGCGTTTTCCTTTTCTAGTTAGAGCTTTTCTGAACAGTCTAACTGTTGTGCTCTCCATCTGCGCAGATGTAATAAAGCTGTATTTTGTTCTCTCTTTAACAAGGTTTGGACTTTAATTCTCTCGCTCCACACATACATATTTTAGCATATAATGTTGCAGTCGTGGGTTGCTAGTTCAACACCTAAACCGTCTGTCCAAGTCAACATTTAAGCAATTTTTGTGGATGTTCATTAAATGCTATTTCTGTAGTGTGAAACCTGTAAGCTAAGCTACGCTAAGCACCAATAGTTAGGAGGATATAAACAACTATTCTGCAAATTGTTTATTGAAAACACCTGAACCATTTTGAAATGTAAACTTATGTGAAGCTGTTTTACCAGATGATTTTGATATACCCTGTGAGCTTTATTAAAGAATATGGCAAAATTGGATTTAAAACAATATATTTACAGTTCTTCACTGAAAACATTGTAAACATCATTAAAGTTAAATTGAAGTTAATACAAAGTACACAAATGTTTCACAATACACTAAAAATGCAACATAATTTTGATATTTAAGAAGCATAAAACCACACAGCAAACCTGGGGAATCTGAAATAGCTCAACACTGTCAGTTACTGTTTTTTGTTGGGTTTTTTTACATATAAAACCACAAACAGAAGAACAAGATGATCCCAGGTCCAAACAACCACAACAAAATTCACACAGATTTCATTTTAACAGGAACATTAGTTATAAAAAGGGCAGTCATCAATGTTCATAAAAAAAAAAATCACAAAAGTACATGAACAACTTAACATGTGGCATTAAAAGCAGCATCTGATTGATAAAGTATAATAAAAACAAATATTGAAGTATGTAAACATTAAAACACTGGAATATGGTATCATGACATATTTTACAATCTTTTTACAAGTTCCTTAAGAAAAGGAAAACTGAAACATGCACCATACTTAAATTGGTAATCATTTAACACTAGTGTGAGAGTGAGTGACGTGTGCCTGTCTCTCTTTGAAAGCAGCAAGGTGATCAATAATCATCCGATTGATGAGACCGTAGACATGAAGACGTAGATGCCTCATGGAGCGGGTCGGCCCGTTGACGCGATACGTCACAGCGTCCGCCATATTGAATGTGGCGTATGAGGCAGTAAGCTAATTCAAGTAAATGGACCAAACGTCAGAAAGAGTCGTTCTACAAAGTATCTTAAGTTAATAGCCGTCATTGACACATTATCTCACACACAGTAATATATTTGATAATCAAAGAAATTACTAAAGACAGTTTCTAACTTTTGATGTGATTATTTAATTGTTTTGGGGGATTTCTGAACACAGAGAACAATGTTTTTATTTTATAGAAATTATTCTGATCATTTTTATGTTGACATTAATGAACAGACCCACACTTTTAGTGTTGTATCAAAAAACATATTTACATAATTCAATAATTTAATGTACATTGAACATTTCAAGACAAGAAAAAAACATTTCTTGTATTTATTTTTTTATATATTAGTGAGAAATGACTTGATTTAACAAAGTCATTGTCACTCCGGTCATTCTACTGCCACATACAAGATGGCGGTGACGTAAAGTAGGACTCAGCGCTCAATACGTATTCATGACTATGATGAGACTCTCCTGGCCTGGTGCAACACAAAGGACCATCTTTATTCTTGAAAAATCTCTCAGCTTCAGCTGCCGTCATGAGAAGTTAGTGATTATGTTGAAAGTCTTAGAGACTTTTTCTCTGTAGAACTGGATCCAAAGCAGCACCTCTTGAATTCATGTCCTAAGAGTTTCTGTCCAAACAAGACTCCTGGTGGTCAAACAAGGAGCTTCTATGGCATTAACCAGAATGGTGGTATGGATCTTATCAAAAAGCCTGATTTGTCCTGCTGCTGCTGCTGCTGTTGTGTTGAGAACCTGAGGGCAGACAACACAAAAACACCATTACGTCATGCATTTGGTTTAGGATTGCAGTACTGACAAAAACAAGCAGAACTTGCTCTTACCTTAATGACACCAGATGGTTTGAGAAGCTCTGGAGGGTATGTTTCATCAAGACTACATCAGTGTCTTTCTGAGCATCCCAGCTCCCAGCATATCGATGGGAGCTGGGATTTTTGAACCAACCAGAGAAAACCCGGAAGGCATCATCCTCACAAAGCCAGTCGTGTCATTTCAGTTCTCTTTAAGTCCATCCAATGAGCAAATGTACAAAAGTTGTTCATAGCAGTGTTTGCCCCTCTTACTCCACACCATTGGGTATTCAGTCGTTCAGTTCATACTCTGCCTTCTATTTTTCTGAGATTGGGTCACTGAGGTTCCTGCACCACTCTCAAAACCATTCTGCAGTATCCCAAGGGGTTCACAGGTCAAAAGGGACATACAGACCCTCAACCAAATGCTGGTTCTGCACTGCAGCTTCTTCCCAATAGGACACGTCCAGACAACCTCTAGACAACACGTCCAGGCAATTCAGATGTAGTCCAATCAAAACAGGAGCAGGGCTCTTCTCCAAATTCAATTATGATCCATATCCTGGATCTCTGCGACAGACCCAAGCAGTACCAGTGTGTGTATGTCTATATCTTGCGCCTTCTTATCATTACAAGACATTAACATGGTTAAACTTCTCTCCTGGAGGTACACTCTGCCCCAATGCGGTAGGAGTGCTCAATCTTCTTCCAGTTGACAACTATGCCCTCAGACTTAGTTCAGCTTACTGTCTTTCTGACCACTTTACACTTCACACCAAACTGGAGATCAAACTCTTTGACTTTGAGGTGAGAATCAATATTTCTCAGTACGTACAAGATGTGCTTGGATAGCAACAAACCAACTTTTTGACATCTGGTAGCATTTGCTCGTAGCAGCTTGCCCTGATCACCTTTTTTCACTCCTTGAAAACACTCACTGTTTTCATCTCATCGAAGACTTCATCCAAGGATACAACTAAGTCAGCAAAGTCTGCAGGGTTGTTCAAACCAATGAGTCACACAAAGGTTTTTGCTGATCTCACTCTTGCGATGGTTACCCTTTCATCGCAACTGGGTGGCAACAATCACCTGAAGACACTATAGATTTCAGCAAATTGCCGATAAAGGAATTGGACAATTTAAGTTCCTTAACCTTTTCAGATAGGTGTTGCATATCATTACTTCATCAGGGTGAGCAGCGTAAGGTTCAAATTAGGTTTTCCACACAGTCTCTCTATAAGAAACCTTGGTTATATACCTTTGGAAGAAACTGATTGAATGTTCAAATTTGATCTTTGGTCCTGATTCTTTTGATATTTTTTTCTTCACAACTACAGTGATTGAATGGAAAACGTTTCAGTGACAGGACTGATTACACTTAATAGATCTGTGTTATGAGTATGTTGAAGGCACAGAATCCATAAAATTCATTATAATGCCATTTCTAAGAGGTATTCCATTAAAAGTCAGTAGAAGCAGTCTGGAGACCAGGACAGGAATCTGGGAATTGGTGCCTTCTGTTGAATGGACAATGGAACAGAGGCAGATAAAACTTCTTTGAAAGGTCAAAGCCATGTCCTGAAATTTTTTTCTTTCTGGTAGAGCATCTTGAACTCACCATGTAAACAAGCCAACACTGCTAAAAATGCAGGATGGTTGAATTTACTAAATACTTAATCATATCACAGAAAATAAGCTTATCACACAAATCTTGTGTGAATGTGGAAACACAACAAACTATACGACAAGGAAAAGGAACTCTTATAACACTGGCATTTTCATAACATATAGACGACCCTTCTGCTCCATCACAAAACATTTGGCAACAATGTCCCGACATGTCACTGCGCGCAGTTCATCTGAACTCCTCACTCTTACGAGGAACTCTGCAATGTTTCTGTTGATCTGTTTGTTCTGGATTGTTGGTTGGGAGTTTGAGGGAAGCAGTTTCCTGCAGAAAGCAATCAGATCTCTGCAGGAGCAGTCGGACGATCTCTCACAGCTGCAATGCCTCTCGACGGCCACCACGGACTCTACGAGAACAAAGCCACTGGTTGTTTCTATAACCGAGTTGTTCCTTTTGCAAGAGACGCTGTAGTCCAAAGTGGTGACCAGCATGTCTTTGTAGACAAAACGTGCGTATTCAGTAACGGGCCGTGTGTCTTTGCTCTGCAATGCAGCAAGTTCTCTCACAGTCAGAGATCTCTGAGAACCGCATCCCAAAGTAAAGACATCTTCACTGATGCAGTTGGATGATTTGGTAAGGATACCACAGCTTGTCATGGAAGAAAACAGGTCTGTGATTTCTGTACTAGCATTCTTCAGCACATTGCTTCCTTTCATGATAATCTCATCATAGGAAACTATCTGCTTGAAGATGTTGGATGGCGCAGACTGAGCCCTGGAGTACATCTGCAGGAGTCGGCTGCGGACACCCTGAAAGATGAAGGCGGAGTTGGCCCACAGTAGTCCCCAGTTACGCGCACAGTCAGTGAGATGCATCAGCAAGTGACAGTTAAATGAGCAATGCTCAGGTCCGTACAGAGACGGTACCTGGGAGACGAACTGAACCAGACACAGCTCTGCACAGCTGATCTCCTCCTGGGAGGCAAACTGGGAAAGGAGGATGTGAAGTGATGAAATGAGAAGCATCCAATGTTCGTAGTACAGTTTTGGTAAAACCTTCCTCAGTATTACAGGAGAGTAGAGAAGAGCAAACGCTCGCCACTCGGATGCCTCCCAATGCATCCTCTCACTGAGGCGCCGGGGTCTTTGTCTGATCTCATCTGGAGGTTGGATGGCAGACAAAGCTTTGTCCAGGTTCTTCAAACTCTGAGGTGGAAGGTGGAAGCGCTTTCTGCCATAAAGAGGATCCAACCAAAGATTGACAAACTCAGGAACAACCCCAAGACAAACACAGTGCATGTAATCTGGGATAAAACCTTTGATGATATCAAACGAAGGCAGCAGAAGCAGCGGACTGTGACCTTTGACACCCATTTGACCTTGTGGATAGCCATTCTCAATCACTACGATGGCCAGTTGCTCCGTCTCAGCCATGTGCCGTAGGTCACATCCGTCCACCTGAACCGGATAGACTCTGGTGTAACCCCGGCCCTTCTGAACCAGCTCTCCTTTGTGGTAGCAGAACCCGCAGCCGAACTCCGAACTGAACGGCTGAAAGTTCTGCACCGCTGACCTCACCGCCGAATCGCAGACGCAGATTTTCGCCATCACGCTGGTGTTCAGCTCTAATCCACTCTCGTCTTCCCAAGCAAAGCCTTCGTGAGAGAGTTTATGAAGCTCGTTAATGAACGGCGTAAAGAAACACTGAAGCAGCGGCTTCCCTTTGCCGAACCACAACGTGTGCAGCAGAATATTTTTACACCTCTCCACATACGGAAGTTCGTTGATCGTGCACAGGATGGGCCAGACTGAAAACTTGGATGAGTTGAGAAGAGGAGAGCTGTCACATGTGAAGGTAAGTGTAATACTGCCCTCCTGCTCTTCGTGCTTATATTCACCACCGGTGTTGATGTCAGAAACGTAATCGTTCTTTGTAAAATGCTTCCCCAGCTTTGAGTGAAGGCGTTTGAGGACCTTCCTCAGTTGGTTTTCTAAAGGCAGCACCAGGAAGTAGTTTGCCTTTTCAAGCAGGCTTTTTTTGCTCAGGCGCTGCTGACACACTCCGCACTCGGTCCCAGGCTCTACGCCGAGGTAGTTGTCACACCTGGGACAGTACAAGTGGATCTCTGTCTTCTTGTCAATGTCAGTCAAATGTTTCTTTATGAACTGCAGAGAGCTGGGAATGCATCCAGGCACCATGAGGTTGAGGAGGGCCAAGAGGTCTTTGGTGGCTGCTTTTGACAAGTCGTGCTTCAGGATGAAGGCCAGGAGGAGGAGGAGGAGCGCTCTCACACTGACTGACGAACCGGCGTAAATCTTCTTTTCATCGTCAAAGTTTGGGTCAAAAATCTGCTCCTGAAATGTTACGGAGAGAAAATTAGAAGGTAAACGGGATGATATCAAATAAAAATGGATATAGGAGAAACAAACCATGGGATCGTCTTCTGGTGTGTCGTCACACGAAGCTGAATTTTTACGCTGAAAAACAGAAAAGACGGAGACATATATAGGCAGTAGTTCTAATTGACACGACTAATTACATATAGACCTAATAACTGACAAGAGCCTATGATTATTTCAATCCTAAGTCAAAAGAGCAACAGATTCTACATAAAAAAAAAACATTTTTGTCAATCTGGGAATAATTACTCCACCTTTTCCAAACAATCCAGGGTGTGACAGAAATGTTATTTGCATCTTGAAAACAAGTAAGGAGACTCTATAACAACTTTTCCAACATTTCTTCAATATCTGTTTTGGGCCTTTTAGTGGATATCGGGTACATGTGTTTCCATGTCTGCCATTTGGAAAGCCAAACCAACGAGTTGTAATATGAAACACTCTAGTTTGTATTCAGGCAGATGTCACAACAATTTCTCTTTCTCTGAGTCACCAAAATATTTTATGATCGTGCAGGTCTCACATTTCTCCACATAATCAATTTTAGACTCAATACAATTTAACTGCCGTATAATAATGTAGCTTATATGGTTGGAAAAGGGTTAAATACTTTTCTTCATTTAGCTCAGACATAAAGAAAAGAAACAAAGCTTCCAGATAATTATCAATAAAATAAAGCATTTTCTTACCTGATTAAACTAGCAGTCGCGTCTCTGTCTGCTCTCCCTGCACAAGCTACGCGTCCTTGCTGTCACCTCGCCTTTTGTTGTTCATTCCCTCAAATACAAAGTTCCACTTGTTTTTTTTTTTTAATTCTTGAGCAAAAACTGAATCAAACTGACGAAAAATATCTGTCCTTCCTCGTAGCTCACAAACGTTTTGTGCATTGATGATCTTTGTAACAATCGTCTCTATCGTTCAGGTGACGATCTGGGTTTGTTGCACCCACAGGATAAAATAACAATCTGAGACAATCTGTTTGACAGCTGATGTCCAAACCGGGTTAACACCAGAACAATGATCTCAAAATCTACAACAGAATGAATTAAGTGGTCCAGTCAAAGTCCAGACCTCAATCTGACTATTGGGATACAGATAAAATTGGGCAGAAAACACCTCCTTCATCTAATTGTTGCTAAAAGTCACTCAACAACCTCATGTAGAATCTGTGGTCCGTTTTATTCTGAAGATAATTTTTATTCCCTGATATGAACTGAAACACGGTGCACTGTAAAAACACACATTTTTAAAGTATTTTTGGTCGAGCTTCTGGTGCCAATTTCTAAGTACACTTGAAATCAGTGAACTTAGCTGCTCTTCAAAACTAACTTACAAGTAACTTTTTCGCAAGATATAGAAGCTTGTTTTATGTCAATAATTTCTTTATATTGATAGATAAATACTAGTTACATTGGCAGATTATTAAACTCATCACAAACCATTTTCCCATAAGTTACCTCCAGTATTTTGCTGAGAAGTTATTTGTAAGTCAGTTTTGTCTTTTTTTGAATGTAGTAAGATATTTACATAACTAGACTAGACCAGAAACTGGTAATATTTTGTGTTTTTCTTTTTTTTTTGCTTTCTTTCTCCCCATGTCGGTACCTTTTCATGTTGTGGATGTTCTTCTGTCCCTTCTCTCGCTCTTCCAAAAAGATAACTGGCCTAAATGTCAGAAAGAAGAAACCTTACGATGATCTCAATGCGCTCATCTCTGTAAATCTGTAATGAATAAAAACTTCCTACCAGCGGATCTTCTTCGTCTGTATCCGACGGTTCTGCATCGCCGTCTTCTTCCACAGCGCTCTCATCCTTCTGGGACTTGAAAACAAACAAAATGTTGGATTTTTTTCCTGTATTTTCTTTTTAAAAGTTTAAAAATAAACTTTTTAAAATGTGAAACAACCAGAGACTCAACATCACATTCAAATTTAAAGCTCTGGAGTTAAAGGAGTTAGAATCTAGATTCTGAATTGAATCTGTACGATGTTGTAATTATCATTATTATCATTATTAATAGTATTATATTAATGATAATTGATTGTTACCTCATCTGGATCTTCTGTGTCACAAGCTTGTCCAGGATGATCAATCTGAGAGAGCAGAACGTTTGATTTAACATGAGAACAAACTTCCAGAAAACTGCAAAACTGCTGAAACACTGATTTCCTTTAAATCAAAACTAAAAACACAAAAGTTTAGAGTTTATTCTTAACCAAAATAAATTGAATATTGAGCAACATATTTGACGTGCATTAATGATTTAGATGTTGAAAATCAACAAAATCTAAATTGGTGTTGATGTTTTCATGATGTATAGCACTTTGAACTGCCTCATTGCATAAATGTGCTAGTAAATTAAACTTGATTGACTGAAGTAGCTTTAAAAAGTTGATTTCACTTACTTTTCCAAAATGAACTGACTTGTTTATTTGTATTTTTAATGTATTTCTAATTTTGTATCAAGTACACTTGAATAGAAAATCTGCAGAATTTACCATTTTTTATCTGATTAATCATCATAATAATTGTTAGAATAATTGTTGCATAATTACAAATCAAACAAAAGCTGAAAGTTGCCAAGCATTTGTATTCAGACCCCATGAGTCAGCGTTTTGTAGAGCCACCTTTTGTCTCTGCACATGTAAGGACTACAATTTTTGCCTTTTCTTCTTTACAAAGCCATTTATAAAAAGCAAATTTCAATTTTTACCAGATGATTTATGTCTGGCCTTTGACTAGGCCATTTTAAACAAGAATGATTAGATCTCAATCCTTCTACTGTAGCTCTTACCTGTGTTCAACTTTGTTTTCCTGCTACTTTTGTCGAGTCAAACTGGATTTTTTAGCCCAATCTCCCTTTCATCACTTAGTTCTGATCAGATTTTCTATCCTAACTAAAACACCAAACTGGCGGCCATCATGTTTTATCGTGAGCACTTTCTTTTTAGGGAGATTTGAGAAGATCAGATCACATTCTTCTCCATGTTAGATGTCAGTTCTATGCAGAGGTTTTCTTTTTCTCATCCACTGATGTGAGCAGCTGCTTATTCTCCCACCTCCAGAGTTACCTCAGGCCTCTTGGTTGCTCCTCTGATGTCCTGTTGATCTGCAGTCGGTTCGTCCTCTCAGAGATCTGTGAGACGTTCAACTCCTCCACATCTTTCTCCCTAACCTCTCTGAAGTGTTTGTTCTCTAAAAAAACACAGCTGCATTTCGCTGAGATTAAACGACACAGGTGTGACTCCTACTGCAGCAAAAAGGGGCTGAATACAAATCCACGCCACACTTTTCAGATTTTTATTTTGTAAAAACCACGTCTCATTTTCCGTTACGTCACACAATTTCATTGTGTTCCAATGAAAACACACTGACGCTCGTGGTTCCAAACACAAAAAGAAATGCGGGAAAACAACGGGTTTGAATGTTTTGTTATTATTTACATAAATGTTTTTTACCCTTTCATGGTCCTCTGCTTCCCCTGTGGATCTGGCAAACAGGAAACTGGACTAAAAGTCAGAGAAAAGAAATCCTATAAGAACCGAGAATCATTGGGTTGAATGTCTATAACAAATCCATTTTGATTTAGTTTTCACACCATCGGATCTTCGTCGGAGTCGGACCGTCCCGTGTTGTCACCCTCTTCACAGCTGCTGTTCAAGTCTTTCTGGAGTTTAAAAGGAAAACAGAGTAACTAATCTTCCTTTTCAATTTTTAATAAGTTGCTTATAAACATATTATACCATTTCTTTATCTCCGCTGAGGAGAGTTGGTCTGGATGACACCAGCTCTTCCTTTGAAGGTTTGGATTCAGTGGAGTTGGAGTCTGTGTTTCCAGCTGCAAGCAGCACCTTGCTGAGGAGATCCGGCTGCATTTCAACATGACAACAAAATGAGTTACTCTCAAATCTCCAGCAAATCAAATGTTCTCATGCGTAGGTTTTGACTTTACCTTATCAGGGTCATCACCTTTTTCACTAGCAGGACCAGCAGGATCAGCCTGAAGAACAAAAAGACTAAATCAAAAGTTATTTCTGGTGTATTTTCTACTGGATGGGTTATTTAACTGTAGTTTTATGATCTCACATTTTTTTAAAAAAATTTAAATTGTCCATTAAACCTTAAGACATTACTTTAGTGGAAAAAATAATCCCAAATATTAATAAAATGATGAAGAGAATTTTTATTGGTTTTCTAACATAATCCACTTATTATGGAAGAAAATTAGGGCCACTGAAAAAAATTTATTCTTTCCCAAAAAATTTTCAGAACTCTGACATTTAAAGAAAAAAATAAATTAATTTCTTTCTCTCAAAATTCTAAAAACAAAAATGGTCAAAGTTGGACTGTTTTTCTGAGAGAAAAATCCTCACAAAAAGTCAAAATTTTGAACAAAAGAAATAAAAATTCAGCCTTTGATATTGTTTTTCAAGATAATTTTGATTTGTTTCCCCTAAGTTTAGTTTGAAACTGTGAAGATTTATCTATTTTTATTTATTTCCTTTATTTAACTAGGTAAACCCTGTTGAGATCTGGATCTGATTTTCAGGTGGGACCTGGGCAGAAGTCTGCAATACACAGCAATCTGGTTACAGAATAAAAATGCCTCTCAAGTTAAGCAAAGCAGAAGATCTGTGATCCTGTGGGCCTTCAACTTGTTTAGAGTTTGAAATAGAGATTTTAAAAACAGTAGAATTGAATCACTGGGTCTTCCATTGTGTGATTAAAGCAACAGAGAAATGGTTCAACACACAAAATAAGCCAACCATTAATTCATTTCTGAAAGGTTTCTGCTCATATTTTTAACTATGGATGGTGCTGTATAAGTTATTTTTGAGCTAATATATCTTCCTACTGCTTTAAAAACAACAAACATTAACCTAGAGACAAGAAACCATAACAAGAAGTCAAAATCTTATATAAAGGAGCAGAATATTAAATAAGAGTGTCTGTTATTCCCCTTTGTTTTGCAGCCAAGTGAATAAAAAAGTCCAGTTTTCTGTGTGACTCCTTCTGCTCACCTCATCCAGGATTTCCCAGTTTGTCCTCTCATACTTTCTTCTCCGCGAAAGCGTGGCTACAGTATTGAACCGTTTCTATTTGATCACAATGTTTCTAACTGTGGAATGAGGGATCTGTAAAGTCTTTGAAATTAATTTGTAGCCCTTCCCGGCGTTGTGCAGAGCAACTATTTCGGACCTGACAGGGACCGGAATCTCGTTCCCGCCAGGCATTTCCCTTAAACGAAGTAAAAAATCAGGTATTATTTAAATTAACCATTTTTATTTTATTGTTTTTGTTAGCAAAAGGAAGCGCTATGAGGCCGTTATTTGTTTGTTTTTTTTACTTCCGGCCTAGAACGGAAGTGCGAATTTACACCATTTATTATGCCGTTTTTTTTTTTATTTTTTATTTGTTTGAACTCATAAAACCTTTCAAATCAAGTTTATTTTCTACAATTAAACGAGAAGTAAAAATAAACATGTATATATAAAATATTAAAAATAGAGAAACCCGCGTGGTGCGTTCAAGTTCCCTCTGATAGCGGAACTCCGAGCAGGAATGACGTCACACCCGAGTCGAAAGCTTCCCACAAACAAGCAGAATAAATTGTAAATAAAAGGCAAACCAAGATAAGCATCACAATTCCCACTTTTTGTCAAAAATTTCACTTTAAGAGGAAAACTGACTTTTTCGGGTTTAAATATTTTTAGTACATGGTCGTTTTCTGGAATTAAAGACATTATTCTAAGATTAAAGTCTGATATATATTTTTATTCCTAGTGGCCATAATCCTCTTCTGCAATTCACTCCAGCGGTTTTTATAAATATTTTAATCACATTCAACTTGAACATTCAAGAGGGCTTTCAGGCAAAATTTGGTTAAATTCTGGTTAAACATTAAATATGACAGCAATGCTATAAATTTAAAAGTAGGATTATTATTATTAGAAGAGTCCAGATGGTTTATTTACAGATAATAAACAACAGAAAGACGGATGGATGGATGGATAGTGTTGAGAATATATTTCTCCTAGATGTTAGTAAAGGAAGAAGTGAATGAATGATTGCTAGGAAAACGTAGCTGGATGACAGATGAGGATGAATGGATGATGAATAATCGCTCTTGTTTACTGTCCTTCTCTCAATATGTCTCAAAATTGATCCATTTCATGGTGACGAAATGTGACAAATCCAACCTTTAGTCTGTGTTGAGCAAAATCACGAGCTAATTTTTGGCCTAAGGGGCGTAAAATGTGACTGGAGATGAAAACCATCTGTGACCGCAGAGATTTCCTTTGTTCGGGCGATCAGAGCAGCTATAAAAGCTCCATGTCCCATTAAATCCTCACCTCATCCAGCTTTTCTTTCCGTTTCCTCCTAGGATTCCCCTTGGAGGGTCTCCCACTCCGCGGCAGCGTGGCCACGGTGTTGAACCGCTTCCACTTGACGATAATGCTCCTCACCGTGGAAGGAGGAATCTCCAAAGTCTTTGAAATGAACTTGTATCCCTTCCCAGCTTTGTGCAGGTCGACAGCTGTCGACCTGATGCCTTCGGGGATTTCGCTTCCACGGGGCATTTTTTTCCAGATAACTGGTGTAAACCACGATTATTTCAATCTGCAACTTCCCCCTTTTTTTTTATTTACTTCTGCTAGCAACAAGGAAGCTCTCCGTTGGATCTGATGCTTCCACTTCCTGTCTGCCCCGGAAGTAGGATTTCACTTTTTTTCCTATCAGGCTTTTAAAAAGAAATTATTCGCTAAATATCCGTTTTTAATATTCTAAAATGAAAAGTAATATCTAGGATATTAAATATGAATATATTTGAGGAATACGCACAGAAAAGTATCTTAAATTAATGCTAAATATCAAAGTGGAAACGTTAGTTTGGTTTTTTTCTGCTTAACCTTGATTTGTAATCGAAAATAATGACAAAAAGAAGACAAAGGATGCAGAAAAATAAAATAAAGAATAAGCCATTTTAAATTTAAGTTAGATTCAAGTCAAGTATAATTTAGGGATCAGCAGAGACACAAATGTAAAATAATTTTAATTAGAAGGCTAATATTACAAAATGAAATGCTACATTTTGGATTTGTTTTGTTTTTAAGGTTAAATACAAAATACAGTAATTTTATTAAATATTTAAATAGAGTTCTTTCTGTAATTTAATTTATGAAAACAGAATTTTAGATTCTATTAATAAACATATCCAAGCTGCACAGTGACACAATGTTAGCATCAGCAGTTTTCAGTAGAAAAATCCCAGGTATGAATCTCAGATGGGTGTTTTTTATTAAGAGTTTGCATGTTTCTCTACAGTCCGGTTTTCTACTGGTCCACAAACGTTCACACTGGTTTAACTCGTCACTCTAAAATAGTGTGTATTTGTATTGCTGTGGATGTCAAAGAAATGGCAATCCTGTTGAATTTCAGGTTTTGCTTAATGTCCATCTTTAAATAATAAAATGAAACAGTTTTTTTATACAATCTGAGCTCAACAAATCCAGATTGGAGGTTTTAAAATTAAAGATTTATTTCTGATATCCCACAGACAACATTGCATGAAATAAAAACTTCACAGAAACTGAAGAAACCTGAACAAACATGCACTAAAATCTGGTGTGTTTTAAATCCTTAATCTAATATAGACCACAGAGATGAACACACAGCACGACATGTTATGGGTTGTCTCAATTTATAAACATGTAACTTATTTATTTCCAAATTCACTCAAACGCATGTGCCTGTCGGAGTGTGTATGTGCCGTGAGGCTGACTGCGGGCGCTGCTCTAAGTGTGTGTGGGGAGATTTTGAGGAGGTTCTGCAGGCAGGTTGTTTTGGGCTTCAGCAGGAGCCTTGATCTCTGCAGGTGAAGAAGAAGAAGAATCAGTTAATGAGATCCAACAGGGAACCAAATCAGCAGGAACGAAAACAGCGCTTCCATCGTCCGTGGAAAAGCACAAATTAAAATTACGAAAATAAATTTGCTTAATAGAAACAGAAATTTCTTTTAAAAAACTTATTATCAACATTTTACTCATCAAAACTGCACAAGAAACACTTTTTTCAAACTGCATAAGTCACATGATCAACCAATGGATGCTACTACTGGTGGAAACGACAAAGAAGACGACAGGAAGTGAGAGGAGGAGTTGTTTTTTTTAACAGCAATGTTGAGCTTGTAGCATCGCACAGTTAATAAAAAGCTGTAAAACGCTGCATACGTAGCTGCTATAACGCCTAAAGAAGACGCCGACATCTACTCTGATTGGCTGGTAGATGATGAGCTTTTCCATGATCATAATTTTTTATGATTTATCGCATGAACAAAATGATTAAATAATTACAAGTGATGTTTTTTTTGTGTTTTGCCCTCCAGGCGGTGTTGCAGTGCTACTGTGAGATGATCGAGTTTTCAGGCAGCGGCTGCGGAGCGGACTGCAACCCGACATTAACAGAATACAGACAAAGATTTGGGCACATCTACAACAGAAACGCAGCTATCGATGAGCTTCACCTTCAGGTTTGTGAGTTTGTGGTTGAAACTGCAGCTGTCCGTTCGGACCAGCAGGCGGCTGCCTGTTGCCGGCTTCCTGCTGCTCTTTCTGTCTCTGGGACATTTCTAAAACGGCCTAGAAGTAGAAACAAAAATAAACATTTTGAATTCTTAAATATTCTTGACTCCCATACAGGTTCTTTAGTTGTTTTCAACGTTTACCTGTTGATACTCTCTTTTCTGCGCCTGCAGGGCTTTGCCTCTCTCCCTCAGCAGCTCCTGCTCCTGACGAAGAGTCTCCGCTTTCCTCTTTAGCTCTTCCTCTTTGTCCCTCAGCTCAGCTTCGAATCGCTGCAGCTCTTCCTCGGTGTACAGTGGTTTAGCGTCCAGTGTCTGTGAAAAACCAAGGAAACGGTAAATAAAGAAAAACTACTAGTGAGTGATACAAATCAAATAAGTTTCACTTACATAGTTAATTCTCTTTCTCTTTCTACTAAAAACTGGATGTTAAAAGTCTTCAGTCTGGTGCTTTGATTTCAACCAGCCCTTTTTTGAAAGTCAATTTTGTTTACAGAGACCTCATAATTCATTTTATTTGTTGTTTCTGTTATTTTGTTGATTTGTTTTGGATATCAAAATGTCTTCCAGTTCCAATGTTTAAATGTTTGTTAGAATAATGCAGAAATGTTCCTGCATTATTATACATCTCAAAAATGGTCTGAAAAAAAAAAAACAATATTATCATTTATTGGGATAACTTCTGGGACAATTTATCATCCAGAAGAAATTGTTATTGTGACACGGCTAGCCTAGCAATATTGCTAATTTTTTAGCAATATTGCTAATTTTTTATCTCAATGCTGTGTCCACCAGATTAATAATGTTTTTTAAAAAACTGGGGGCTCGTCCGGGATCATTTAAGACACTAGAGGAGATTAATCTGCTGTTTTACATGGGGAGTCATTATTCCCATGTTATTTCACTTATATCATGGGACAATTGTCTTTTTATCAGTGAATTTATCTGCCAATAAAACATGCGGTTTTTCACAAATATTAAGAAATTGAAATAAAATCTTCTAATATAACTTGCTGAAAAATTACTTCTGATTTAGTTTTTTTTTATTTCAAGTTTACTAAGATATTTGCACCAGAAACCAGACCAAAAACACTTGGCCAGAAATTTTGTTTTTGCAATGCAGGCTGTCAAAATTATTTATACTTTTTTTTCCTGCAAGAACATCAATAAATATAAAAATATGATTGAATGGATGGCAATATTTTTGACTGCAATTGCCTAAAAAAGACTGAAAAGAAATTGTAAATACTTTTGGTCTTTTTAATGACAAAATTTTGCTTTAAGTTTCTAATATCTATATTTTAGTGCATGTTTTATCATTTTAGCCACAGTCATTAAAGCCATTGTGGGAGCCAAGAAGGGAATTTATAACTAACTGTATTCATAAAAGGAACAAATTTGAGTTAAATTATTATTTTAACACTCTAATCTTCCGTTACCTCCCACTCTTTGGGATTACTGAACTCCTTCTTCTCCGTGGATTTGAGGAACTCCTCCAGGCTGACGAGTCGATCTTTATTTAAATCCACCTTTTAAAGCACAAGCAGACGATTTGCGTTAATCGAAGCAAATCGAGGGCAAACCAGCAAAAGCAAAGCAGATGAAAGCCACGGACATTTTTCATGACATGCTCCCTCATCCTCAGCCTCTCTTCCTCCATCTCCATCATGTCGTCTTCCTCGTTCTTTGGGTCGTAGACTTTCTCCAGCTAGATGTCAAAAGATGTGAGCAGCTTTTCTGAGAACATTTTTAAATAAGTAATTTTTAAATTGCCAAGAAGAAACGGAAGAATTTCAAACCTCTTTGGTGAAAAGAGCCTCTAATTCCTGCTCATCTAAAACCCCGTCTTCGTTTGTGTCTAGATATAGAAACCATTTACATTAGACTGGATTTATCAGCATTAAACAGAAAAATAGAATAAAATTATATTTTTAAATGTTTTTAAAACTGAAAAAACTGCAATTAAAAAAGAAAATTAAAAATAAAATAATGAAAAAATGTAAAAAAATATATATATACATTTTTAAATATAATAAAATAAAAAGAATAGAAGTTAGATCCCAAATTTGAAAATAAACCATGTTTTTCAAATCATGTTCTTAGGTATTTTCAAAATAGACGCATTTTGAGTAACTTCAACAAAACAATAAATGAATAAAATAAAATTAAAAATAGAAAAAAAATATTTTAAAAATTTAATATTTTTCTTTTCTCAAATGGGAAGAAAAAGAAAAAAAATAGAATTTAAACAAGAACTTTGAAAAAAAAACTCATGTTTTTCAACAAAAAGTTGTTGCACTAAAATAAAAGTGAAATCATTAATAAAAATAACTGAATTTCTTTTTATTTGGGAAATAAAAGAAGTGAAAAGATGAAGCTACCATGTAGTTTGAAGAAGGTTTTGGGGTTGAACTCTTTAGGGTCCAGTCCGTCCGTTTCCTCCCAAACCTCCCGTAACTGAGCAACGCTGCCCTGATCAATACAAACATCGGTATCAACATCCAGTCATCGCTTTGCAAACAAACGGCTGAAGATGGCGGTTTCCGCCGCTCACCGGAGCGTTGACTTTAGGATGCTGTCGGTGTTTCTCCTTCAGCTCCTGCAGTCGTTTCTCCTCCTTCTCCCTCTTCTCCTGATCCAGGCCCTTCAGGTACTCCCGCCTCTCGTGCTCCTTCAGCATCTCGTAGCGCTTGAACTCCTCATGCCGCTCTGCGTCGTAGTTCTCCAAGTCCTTAGTGGCCTGTGATGAGGAAACAGAAGGAGAGAGGTCAGATGTGAGAAACGGAGAACTGGTGAGGTCACAGCTGCAGCTTCTTACAGTGGAGATGAGCAGCTCCAGGTCTTTGGCCTCAAAGGTGTTTTGGTTGTGTGGGTCCAGGTGTTCAAACTGCTTCAGCAACGAGGTGTGATCCATCTGCAGACCTGAACGGTAAAAATCAATCAGAACTTATCAAATCTAGATGCAACTCTATAACTAACCCAGTTCATAGTGGACTAAGGAAACCATGATGTTAGTGTTGCCTCTGCTCTGTTTCTGATCTGTTATTAACAACAGCTGCGTTTCCATGAACCGTAAAATTACACAAACTG